TCGTCGTTTGTGTCAGTTTGGATAAGAGTCCTACATAATTCTCATAATATGTAGGATCAAATCGCTGTTGTACGGCATCCAAAAATTCCGGCCATGTTGCCATAGGATTGTTGGCCTGATAGTAGTGAAACCATTCCGATGCCGGGTGGTCGATTAACATAGCCACCAAATGCCAACGTTCCGGTTCCGGGGTGAGAAAATAGTCGAAATATTTTTGAACTCGGAAAATCCAACCGGTAGGGTCCTCACCACTAAAACGGGGGGCATCGACCCACATGCGTGGTGCCGGATCCAAGGTAGGTGGTGTCGTCCGGGATGCTGGGGGCCGCCACCCGGAGTGGCCGGCGGAAAAAGGGCGCTGATTTTCCCCGAACGCATGGCGTCTGGAATCCGCCAATTCTGCGACACGAGATTTCGTTGCCTGCAAGTCCTTGCCGAGCTCTTCAATAGCATGCATGACGTCGTTTAACGTCAAAGAGGAATGGGGTTGATCGGCGGAAGACATGGAGATCGACGAATGAGAGCACCAGATGTTACGCCTTTGGGTAGCACGTAACAAGGCTGGCCGCCGCACGAGTTGGCCGCACGACAACCTAGCAGAGGGTTTAGGGGTTTGAGAGAGAAAAGAGGTGTAGGGAGAAGGATGTTCTATTATTGCTTGCCGTATGTGATGACATCCGTAGCTTTATATTGAAAGCATTCCCTAACCCTAATTAATTAATTATCTAACCTGTCGGTTTAAAAAAAGCATCGAGGTAAAGAACCGAAAAGAAACCCTCGAAGGAGCTTATAATTCGCTCACCTAGGAAAATCTACGTTACAAGGGAAATATTAAAATAAAAATATCAAACGTAGTCGTAATAACGTCGGGGTGGCCCGACGTTCCTTCGTGGACGCCCCATGCGGACTTGCTCCGCTTGGGCCCCGCTTGTGGTTTCCCCTTGGGCTTCATTCGTATCACCCGTAACATAACTATCCACAACTATTTTATGAATCACATTCGATATTTATAAACCACATCAAAGATAATTTGAAAAAGTTAAAGACAAATATCCATACCCTTAAATCTTTTAAAAGTTAAAATGAGAAATGTTTTAAAAGACGGAGGAAGTGTAAAATTCTAATGGTCCATATTATTTGATTATATTAGAATGAGGATGATTTAGAAAAAAAATTAATTATATAGACTAGCATATTAAATTGTACTCCGATCCCTGGTTTGGGGTACTTGGTAAGCTTTAATTTACTCCGTAGTTGATAAGATTGTAATTCTTTTTTCTATTTCGAAGTGAAATAGGGAGTGGTATTTCATAACGTACATGTATAACTAGTACCATTGTTGGTACCCACATGTCTTGAATTGATGGCCCAAAACAAAAAACAAAAAAATGGCAATACAAACAAATTTGAATTGGTACAGTACGGAGTATATATTTTTGATAAATTATGAAATAAAGTACAAATTGACATTAAAAAAACAAATGTATGTTTAATTTTGAGATGGAAGTAAGAGAGACTAGGGAGTAGTAAAATAGCTACTGCTTGTCATTTTGTTCCCAATAATGAGGGCATTTCATGACGAATGATAACAAATCTTTGTGGTAATATTCACACTTTCTTCCTCTTGTGTAGTTGTGTGTCTTATACTCTTATGTAAGATTCATGTGGATCTTCTCCTACGTAATCCTCCGTACCTGCCATAACTAAGTATATATATTACTCCTCCCCCCCCCCCCAAAGTTAATTGTCACGTTACAAATTGTATGGATTCATGGTGAACTTTAGAACATTCACTAATACCCACTGAATTTTTAAAAACGTTGCACCAACGATCCCTCTGTATCAGAGGTTAAAAATTTAGAAAATAAAGATTGGGAATGGCATGTTACAGAACTTGCGTGTAATACATGACTTTAGATGAATTTATACTCGCACTGGATGGGCATGTGATTGGTGCAATATTTTTAAAAGTTCAAAAGGGTATTGGTATAATTTTTAAAGTGCAGAGGTATCCCATACAATTAAAAAAATTTAAAAGTAAATGACACAAAAAACTCTTCGCTGAAATAATTATATATATATATATATATATATATATATATATATACACGGAGTATATATATATATATACTCCCTCCGTCCCAAAATATTTGCAACATTTGCTTTTTCAGCAGTCGCGGGAATTTTTGTTTATTTCTACGTTTTCATTGGTTGTTTGATAAAATAAAATATTCTTGACACCTCTTATTTCGAAGAACTTTTCATGTAGTTTTTTGATATGTAAATTTTAATTTTTATTTCTATACCAATATGTAAATAAAATGAATTGAAAAAGCTTGATATTTTACCTCGGGAATACAAGTGTGGCAAATATTTAGGGACGGAGGGAGTATATATATATATATATATATATATATATAGACACACACATCAAAGATCAATTTTTACTGCTACAATAATGACGTCTCAAAACCATAAATTGGGGAGGATTTTAACTATATCTCAAAGTCCAGAGAATATAAATACATACTACGTATATATGCTGCTGAAGGCAGGCTGCTGCATGCCGGCCATTTATTTGGATTCGCATCTGCAGATTAATTATTTCATGGATCATTTGCGTATAAGTTGTTACGTACTCCCTCCCTCCTATATCTTTCTTCCCGTTGCGCAAAACGAAGAAAAATTCTACGGAGTAAGTTTTTTCAATCTATTTTATTTAAATATTGATATAAAAATAAAAAATAAAACAAACATATTTAAAAGCTACATCAAAAGTTCAACACAACAAGTGGTGACAAGAATATTTTATTTTATCATATAGGCCATGAAAAAACACAAATAAATATAAATTCCCGTGAAGTTGGAATAGTGCTCTGGGAAGAAAGCTTTAGGACGGAGGGAGTAGTTTCTTTGCAGAGTGAAATCGTGTTTGGGTCATATCCCATTTTTCAAACCTTTCTTTAACAAAAAAAAATGACACATCATCCCTATGGGCCAGAGCATGTAAATTGAACTATAATTAATCATTTCTTTAACAAAAACTCATTTAGAAGAATTGAACAATAATACTAGTATCTGATCTACTCCATCTTTGATCTACTCACATTTTTTAACCTTAATCTTCGTATCTTGTTATTTCTGGAACATTACGATAAAATTTAGAATGGTGTAGGATAAAAGATAACACTAGATTGAAACATAAAACACTTTAGTTGACCACATTCACTACAAGAAGTGGTTCAATATACCACAAACAAATTTCGTGGCAGAAATGTAATGAAGATTCTGTGGCTGTAATCTGCAACCGATTTGCGACAATACAACTCCGTGGGAGAAAAATTGTGGCATACACCCGATTTGCGAAATTTCCTTCCGTGGCAGATCTGCCAGGACGCTGCAACGAAAAGTTCAACCTTGCATACAATAAATACTCTACAATGAACAGGGAATTTCGTGGCAGTCCTGCATGAGCTAATATAGTCATTATTTTCTTATCGATTTTTCGATTTGGCTGGGATACACTATAACATTCCGGTAAGACCTAAAGAATGATGACTCGCTGGGTATGGACTTTGGAGACGGATGTCGAAGACTAAATCCTTTACACTCTTAGTTTTAACAAAAATATGAAAACTTAAACTTAAAATATAAAATTTAAAATCTTGGGCATAATCTTAAAAAGTTGTTTGGACTTTGTTCTCAACTCTAAAATAAAAACCCTGTTTTTTAGAAATTGGTGTGCGTAGTAAATCTCCATAAAAAGGTCGGCCCAATGAAAACAAAATATGTATGGTTCGGACTTGGGCGACAACGGCCCCATATTCGAGCCCACCATTTGAGAGCACTTTTGGAGAGTTAAACTTTGTTTGAAAAGAACATTTGTATTAAAATTTTAGATGATTTTTAAAATTTACAGATTAAAAATGTCAAAATTAGCCCATAGTGTAGATAATTACGGAGTATTTTTTTAAAATGTTAAAACTAAACACGAAAGATATTGTCAAATGGATGCTTTTAGTGCAAAAGTCAATTTGTTTTCTTCTTTGGAATAATGTAATTATGGAGAGAATTAGTGGGATGGGTGGTCTTTGGGAATCTAAACCTTCATGTTTTGTTGATTTTAATGATCACAATAATATCCCAACATATATTCGAAATCGTGCCCCAAAATTGTCTGCCACATTTTTGGAGTTTTGTTTCTACCAAACACTTCCTTTCTTTTGGAAGGTTGTGAACCTAGTAGCTACAAAGCCACAAAAAAACAAACACTTCTGACTTCCAATGCAACAGAGAGACTATGTAGTTGCAAGATCTTGGAATATAAAAAGCAATCTTGGGTCACGCAAAATTAGAATTTTTAGTATAAAAAGCAATCCTGGGCCACGCAAAATTAGAATTTTTAGTTCAGTTAGTTCTTTGATATCGGAATATAGTACGTGTTATTGGTCAAGAAGTTACAAGTTCAAATCTCAATGTCATTTATTTTTTTAAAATTTTTTAATATTTACAGGAAAAATTTGAGTTAAAGTTTTTATTTTTATGAATTTTAAGTTTTAAGATTGTACTTTTGGTCAGTTATTTTTTTGACACATATTACAAATAGTCCAAACCATGCACTACTCAATGGGGTTGCCCACTTGCCCTACAAGATTTGAAAAGGAAAACTACTTGAGTTTGTTTTCGTTTTTGTTCAACCCAACATTGAATGGGACGAGACTAATAGGAATATTTTCTCTAAAAAAGATGAAATCTTTTGTTTAATAAAAAAAGATGAGTCACATCGTCCCCGAACGTATCTTGTTTAATAGGGATACAGGGTATGGATGATATAAGAAAAATGGAAGTTATGGACTGCTAGGTTATAAAAATATATGATGTGAAGAGATAAAAAATGTGTGATACATATGATAGGTATATGTAAGAGTGATAGAGATGTGAATGTCTGAAGTATTTTGATTGGTTGATACATCTATTTGTTAAATTATTATTGGTTAAAAATTTAAAAAGAATACTTCTCATGCGGTGGCAATGCAAACGTCGCCCGCGTAGGGGTCGCTCCCCTCTCGTGCAGTGCCACGTCGAATCACTCCCGTAACATTGGTTGTCCCCCCATCACCCCCCATGCGAATTGCCCTAATATTGGTCAGCTTGAATTGATCGTATCTAATTGAATATTTTGATCATTATTAATACTTTGTATATTTGAACACAACATCTAAAAACTTTATGAACAAACAACATCATTATGGTCTTTGCTTTTCGATCTCAACTGTGAGGTCACATGTTCAAATTCAAATAAAAACGACATTAACTTTTGATACGTTAATAAATTTGAAAAGTAAATTTGAACAGATACTACATATTTCTAATAAAATTAATAATGTCAAAAAGAAAATAGTTGAACACAAGGTTTGACAAACATATCGTGTTTGAGATCAGTAAAAGCTCAGAAAAGGTTCTTTGGTTAATCAAAAGAGGCTAAATTGCACCATTAATTCTTCAAATTATTGTGTAGGTTAGTCCTTCAACTTTGAAAATTCTACGAATAGTCCTTCAAGTAACTTAAGAATTGCACAGTTGGTCATTTTCTTAATTTTTCCATTAGTCAATGCACTTTTTTCTATTTTCCATTATAAATAAATCTGAAAACCCCTTTATTTTCTATACAATTAACATAATGACCAAAATTGCAACACTAACGTGACTTAAATTAAAGGACCAACACTAACGTGACTTGAAGAATCATTACAATTAGGTCCATCAACATAAATAGTGGACAATGTCAAACTCGTCTAATACGAGCTCATCAAGATATCGTTTCCTGTTTGCTAAGCTTTTAAGCGAGCAAGCTTGGTCAAAACTCATATGTCATATACTCTCTCCGTCTCAAAAAGATTTACACGTTTCAAAAAAATTGCGTCTCACAATTCCTTACTCATTTCTATTAAAAAATGACTTTTACTCATTACTTTTTCAAACCCTACCTATCACATCATACCTTTTTTCTAATAATCTACACATCACATACTAGTTTTACCCATCACATCAAGGGTATTTTTGGAAAGTCAACACAAAATTATCTCTTCCTTAATTTCAACTTTAGTCAAAATGGGATACACTTTATGGAACGGAGGGAGTATAAGTTTATATTCATCTGACTCAACTCACAAAGCTAATCTTTCTCATGTTTTTCCTTTTTTTTTTTGAAAAAAAACATTGACCACATTTTTTATCATTCTTTTAAAATATACACTTTTCCCTCGTTTATTTTCACAAATTCAAAATGGGAGTGAGTATTTATTATTGGTATTTCTTAGATCACCTAAAATTTTATTGCATCCGTCCCAAATTATTTGTCATATTTGCTTTTTCAACCGTCACGAGAACTTTTGTTTATTTCTACGTTTTCATTGGTTATTTGATAAAATAAAATATTCTTGACACCTCTTATTTCGAAGAACTTTTCATGTAGTTTTTTATATGTAATTTTTATTTTTTATTTCTTTACCAATATGTAAATAAAATGAATTGAAAAAACTTGTTATTTTGCCTCGGTACTAAAAATGTGACAAATAATTTGGGACGGAGGGAGTAAACCCTAAGCCCTTTGAAATGACATGTTTTTATTAAAAGAATTGATAGTCTCGAGTCTTTGCAACAAAACAAAATTCAACCTATTAAATACGAAGTACATGGTACAAATAAAATATGAATGCGTTGGTACATGAATTGACATAAACAAACTAAGTTAGGTAACTAATAACCAATACTCGAAATATGTTACTCTCTCCATCCCAAAATATAAGCAACACTCCATTATTTAAAAATTACGGAAACTTTTATTTATTTTTGCATTTTCATTGATTATTTGATAGAATAAAATATTCTTGGCACCACTTGTTTTAATTTGTAGAACTTTTGACGTAGTTTTTAAATATGTAAGTTTTATTTTTTATTTGTAGACCATTCTTTAAATAAAATGGATTGAAAAAATTCAAAAAATTACTTCGTTTAGCGTAATGTTGCTTATATTTTGGAACGGAGGGAGTATAAAAAATTTAATTATAATTAATACTCCAAGGAGGCCCTTTTGTATTTAGAGCATTCACAATGGCAAGGCAATGCCTTGCCTTGTCATGCCATGTCAGCAACTTCCACTCAAATCATGGCATTCCATGGTCATTCCACCCCACTTTTTATTCTATATGCAAGGCATGACTCTCTCATTTTTTATTTTTTTAATATTTTTAATATTTGTAATTTTTGAAAAAAATATTTTTTAAAAGAAGTAAACATATTTTAATAATAAAATAAATTTTAAAAATAATTTTTTATAATTAAAAATCATTAAAAAGTGCAAAAATAGACAAAAACAACGACTTACCACTGTATGCTACGACACTCCACTCATTTGCCACGCAGTGACTGGGTTACTTTTTATTGGTTGAAATAATCCATGTCACCGTGTGACATTTCATTTTTGTATTGCCATTGTCAATGCTCTTAATTTGGAGGCAATGTGCAAGTACACACCTTGCACTTGCTCAAGCAATTTTTAGATCTAAGGTTGCGTGGGAGAGTAAATGAGAGTGGCATGGTAAAAGTAAAATATACTATGAAGTACGGAGTATATGTTAATCTTTTTGAGTGATACAGAGTATTATTAACTCTGTTATATATATGAAATATATATAATGCCCAGTTAATGAAATGATAAGTTACGTAGTATAATTTAGACAAGTACAAGGGAAAGTGGCAGTAAATTATTCTTCGAAAGAAAAGAGTACTACTCTCTCCATCCTATAATGATCTTCCCGGTTCGCAAAACGAAGAAAAATCCCAAGTTTTTTCAATCTATTTTATTTAAATATTGATATAGAAATAAAAAATAAAACATACATATTTAAAAACTACACCAAAAGTTCAACAAAACAAGTGGTGACAAGAATATTTTATTTTATCATATATGCCATGAAAAAACACAAATAAATATAAATTTTCGTGAAATTGGAATAATGCTTTGGGAAGATCATTATAGGACGGAGGGAGTATTTTATTATGAAAAAACTTATTTAAATGAAACGAGCTTGTTCATTTAATAAACGTTTGGACATGAAAAGGCGGATATGGTTGTCATTTATGAGGAAAAGGCCTCGAGTGAGCTAGTATATTTGTTTTGGAGGAAAGAAAAACTTCATTACTCCATAAAAAAGGAAACAAGCTCAAACAGGAAACTAACATCTCAAGTCTCAGTCTGTGTATCCACTCTTATGTAAGAGCGTGTGCAAAACCATTAAAAGAACAACACATGTGTTAGAAGTGAAAACATACTCAAACTTAGACACAAACGCATTACATTCATCCACCACACTTCTGAAATAAGATAAATAAGAAAAACATTATTTATCACCATTAGCAACAAATTGCACTACTTGTAGGCTATCAGAGTATAGCTGCAGTTAGGGGTGAGCAAATTAACCGGACCGACCGTTAAACCGAAAACCGAAAACCGAACTAACCGCTAATTCGGTTTCGGTTTCGGTTTTATATAATAAAAAAATCGGTTTGTTCGGGTACTTCGGTTTGGTGTCGGTTTCGGGTATCGGTTAATTCGGTTGACCGAATAACCGATATACATGCTTTGTTTGGATTAACCGGCATATGTGTTTACTAATTAATAATACTCCGTATGCATTTTTAAAGTCCAATGGGAAGTTAGCCCAATAGCAATCAGCCCACTCCATTATCTAAAACACTAAAATACATTGGGAGTTGGCAGTAGCGTACGGGTACTCCACCACATTGAGATTTGGGATTTATAATTTTAGGTTTTGGTTGTTACTCCACCCAATCGCGATTTTCGAAGCCTCATCCTTTTGCAGATCCGATCGAGAGTCCATGCCTCTGCAAAATTAAAGCCTCATCTTTTTGGTTGTTACTCCACCCAATTCTGCCTTCTTCTTTGAGAGTTTATAACATCTTTTCAACACTACGAGAGACAAGTTTAAGTACCTTGGCTCGATCATTCACGTGGATGGTGAGATAGACCGGGATGTTGCTCATCATATTGGAGCTGGTTGGATGAAGTGGAAGTTGGTGTCAAGAGTTTTCTGCAATAAGAAGATTTCAGAAAGGATGAAAGGTGGGTTCTATCAGTTTGTAGTCAGACCGACTATGCTTTATGGTGCGGCATGCGGCTGAGATGCGTATGCTTTGCTGGATGTGTGGACAAACGAGGTTGGATAGGATTCATAATGAGGTTATTCAAAGACGGATGTGAGTGGCACTTGTGGAGGATAAGCTGCGTGAGACCAGGTTGAGATGGTTCGGTCACATGAAGCGGCGTGAACTAGAGACCCCGGTGTGGAGATGCGAGAGACTTTCGGTTGTAGGTGGGTTAAGGGGAAGGGGTAGGCCTAGGAAGAATTGGAAGGAGGTTATTAGGCAGGACTTAGGACTTTTGGCTCTCATCGAGGATATGACCTTAGATAGGACCATAGTTATCAAGGCGTCACCTAGGCAACACTTAGGCGTCTGAGCGAGGGCATATGGACGCCAAACTGCTCGCCTAGCTTTTCTTTTTGTGGAAACACTGGAGAGGAAGATGACTGGAAGAAGCTTGAGAGAGGAAGAAGGAGGAGATGAAGATCTGAAGAAGATGAAAGAGAGAGAGACTTACTATTAGAGGAAGATCGAGTTTACCTTACTCGCCGATGCTGATTCATTATCGCGACTGCCGAGATATCCAGCGACTTCCTCTAAACCCTCCGACTCTCCGACTCTCCATAGTTATTTAGGTTAACTAATTTGGGTTGAGTTTATTACTGTATTAAAAGAGAAGTGGGCCTTTACACTTATTAATATGGTTCTTTATTAAAAGAGCATTGGGCCCAAATTTGATTTCACTTTAAAAAAGTTTAAAAAGATCACTAACTTGTAAAAAATATTTACTTATTTTTTTGAATATATTTTTAAATTTTATTTTTTTGAAAAACAACATTCATTCATATATTTCAGAATATATACTCTTTATTTTTTTCGGTTCATATGTTCTCTTTAATTACTTATTTCATATTATATGCTTTTATATTAATACCTATAAAATATTAAAGTTGTCATAGCCACTCGCCTAGAGGACGCCTAGGTGGACGCCTTATTAGAAGGTACCCAAGCGCCTAGACTCGCCTAGTCGCCTTAACAACTATGGATAGGACTGCTTGGAGATCTAAAATTAGGGTTGTTGGTTAGTCTCTTTGCCCGGGGTGGTAGTTTTATTCTCTGCGTTGTGTGCTTTGTAGGCTTTAATATCTTTCTTTCTACACCTATTTATAATGCCTTTTATCTTAGCACTTTCCGTATCTTTTTATTTGCCCCTTGTCCTTTGTTGAATGTGCCTTTGTTGTACTAGTTATTCTCTGTGTTGTGTTGCTTGAGCTGGGGGTGTCTTGGAAACAGCCTCTCTACTTTTAATGGGGGTAAGGTCTGCGTACACATACCCTCCTAACCCTGCCAATGCGGGACTCTATTGGGTTGTTGTTGTTGTTGTAATATCTTTTCATCACTTTTTTTAACCATGAAGTCAAAAAGTGCCTTTGTGGGACAGAGGAAGTAATATTTTCAGAAACTTCGTTTAGGCTGTGTTTCATTTTTTGTTGAAGAAAAGTAATCACTCTGTTTTGCTTTCAAGCTGATGTAATTTTTATGCAGAACATTCACTTTACTTTGTGTTATCCATGCTCTTTATATGGGACATAGTTCCAAAGCTTATTCCACTGATTTTCTGATTATGATCTAATGAACAAGATGAGTTTTTTAAATTATAATTAAGGACTAATTTTATTTTTTTCCCTTCAGGTTTGATTGCCAAAATCCAGGGTCAAGTGGCTTAAGTCAAGCTATTTATAAAGGTTTGATATGTCGCTTCATACTTCCCTATGCTTGGCGAAACAAGTTCATGCATTAACTAGGAGCATTTAGCTTATAGATGAAAGGCTAGCTTATTTCTATATTAGTGTTTTGTAGTTGTAGCTTAAAAGGTAGCAAAAAAAATTTAAAATTGATACAAATGATTATATTTACATTAAAAAGGGAAGAGGTTAAAAAGGAAATTACAATGGAAAAAAGTTTGAGTCACTCATTTGAAAATCTACTAAATTAAGTTTCTGCGGTAAGCTTTGTCATATCAAGTAAGCTCCTTTAAAAATCAGTCTATAAGTGCTAATAACAAGCTTCTAATTAGATAAAAAATGAGAATAAATGTTCTTGAATATTCCTTTGTGATGGTATCATTTTTCAGGTTCTAACCATAGCGTGGGTGAACAGAACTTGGTGGGAGAAGCAACAGCTGAATGGAAGTTCAAAAAGTATAGCTATTTCATTCTCTCTTGACTTGCTTTTAAACTTTATTTATTGCATCCCTGCCTCTTATTGATATTTTGAGGGTGGTGAACTCCATTTTTTCAGGGAACCTTCCGATTTGCCTGTAGAGTTTAAGTGCCCACTCTGCAACACTTTTTTCAAGGAGGCTGTGCTTATTCCTTGCTGTCAGCATAGTTTTTGTAAAAAATGTGAGTAGTTTCTCTGGAAGTAAAGCTTTCTGCATGTAAGTACAACTCTGCAGGTTAAATGCATCATGACCAATGTTTGAAAAGCATTTGAAGATTCACAATTCCTTTGATATGCTATGCCTCATGGTCTGATCAAACAATATGCTCCCTCCTGTCCTTATTACAATTGACTTTTTTATTGGAGACATAAGGTTCAAAAATAAGTGTCTTAATTATATTATATCATACTCCCTCTGTTCCGGAGTATGCGTTGGGCTTCTTTTTGGCACAAAGACCAAGGCGAGGGGAATAAAGGGGAGAAGGGTCACAATTACGCTTCTTGGAAAAACCTGCATCTGCACACGAAGGCGAAATTAAACGTTATTCTGCTACTGCTTTTACTTTTTGAATCTCTGCTCACCGTTCTCTTCCTGCATCACCTAGATTAGGCCTTCAGATTTGAATAGGTTATCCAACAAAAAAATTAATAAAAGGGGAAAACCATCTGCAGAAGCTGATGAACGAAAAGAAGACAAAGACGAAGCAATCAAGATGCAGCATCTCATGAGGATGCAGCATCTCATGAGGATCAAGATGCAGTTTGCCTCGATTCTCCAGACATCTATGAGTATGGACCACTTAAGACCCCACCATTCTCCACATCCTCGGAGTAAGCGGACAGATCAAAGACCTCATTATGCAAATCCCGAGACAGAGAGAGAGAGATGTTTCATCGTGTCTTAATGGTGTTGGCGATGGGAGTTGGTTAAATGAAGGGTATAATGAACTCTTAATATCAACTGTGTTTTTCTTCAAAGGAAAGTGGCAAATACTTTAGAACAATTCGAAAAGGAATACCGGATGAACACTTTGGGATGGAGGGAGTATATATTTTGACATTTTGTGTTAGCTTATAAGTTAGATAACATGTTTTGACAAATACAATGAATTTTGTAGTTTGTAAGCCATCCAATCAACTAATTTAGGATTTCACAAAGAATGTCAACTAATGTCAACAAAAAAAAGTCATTTTTTGTGACTTTTGTTTCAGGTATTAGCTTTGTTCTTCTTGAGAAAAAAATTTGCCCAATATGTTTCTCCATCAAATGCAAAGTGGAAGATCTGCTCCCTAACTTATCTCTGAGACAAGCAATTGAGCATTTTTTTGGATCTCAAGTGCTTGGTACAGGCTCACCGAATGATCTGTGTCAACTTGTTCCAGGTTAAGATTTAGCATTTAATCACGATTCATGAGTTTTAATGAAAGAACAGACTCCTGTATAGTCGATATTGTAATTGTTCAATGTTAAATACAGACGGAGAATCTGGAATTCAAGCTAGGGAAATCTCTTGTGCTGTAACTGTTATCCAAAGGGAACCCGACAGCCCCCATTCTCCCTCAGCTACTGGACATGGATCTAATCAAGTTTTGGCAGACTCATTCTATGAGCCACATAGGAGAAGTAAGCCACATAAGATGCACATGTTTGATGGAAAAAGATCTCAATATGCTCACTTAAATCCTCACGGTGGAGCAGATGATGTGCCAATTACAGTGTTTGACGGAGGGAACCAGCCCTTTAACTTATGCAAGACCCGTGTTCATGATGAAGGTATTTCTCCTTATTAACCGACAACTCTGATATTTTATTGCAAGTCGTTTTGTTTTTATAAGGCATGGTGCTTAATCTTTTCAATAGCTGGGTTTAGCTCTTAGTTCTTTCAATAGCTGAATTGTTTCTTTCATAGTTAATTTTTCAATTATGTCATGGTGGCGGTGTTCATATTGAAAGTTAAATACCATCTAGACAAGTTGTTTAGTTGGTGTTTCCCCTATTTCTTTTATCATGAAATTTACTTTCACACAGAGATCCTTTATGGCCTTATCCCTTAGTATCATCACCATCATCAATATCAACACCTTATTCCCAACTTGTGAGGGTGGTGGCATTAAATTTATAGTATTAATTGTTTGTACAAAATTGCATGACAATATGACACTAAGTTAATACAATAAAGCATAGAGACAATGTTATTTGCAAGATGATTTTCCTAGCTTCTTAGGAAGGAATACTGAGATAAAAATTCTGGAACTGTCATCATCATAATTTGTTTTCAGTTGTCACATGTATGGAAAAAACAATGGGGTGACGTTAAGTTGAGATATTTACTTTTGTCTTGTCCATAGCATGATTGATATTGCAAACCAACATGCAGATCAGGTGAAGACTGCCCATGTTTCATTGGTTTCAATACTTGATTTTGTAAAAAAATTACTTTTCAGGTGCAGAGACAAAGTTTTGGGCTACTGGTAGGCATAAACAGGTAAATTTGATTATCAAGTGTCTAATTATTTATTATGAGTATTAAGTAAGGAGTATGGGTTAATCATTATCAACAAATATCTTATTGAAAAAAAACTGGTATTTGATGGGAGAACAGTTCATTTGACATCTATATCTGTAACAATGGAACTCAGGGGGCTCGTACTTGTTACATATGTGGATCTCCGGAACATCTTATGAGAAACTGTACTGCCTCAAATTCTCTCGCCATGCCTCAAACAGGTTTGTATATAACCTCACTTACAGACGTGTGAAATTTGAAGATCTAAATGTTAATACATGGTGATCCTTGTATTTAGGACATCATATGCTGATGGGAGGGATGCCAGGCTATCCATCACCATATTGGAATAACACTATGTATTCCCCTATAAGCCCATTCACACATATTTATGGTAATCCAGAAATGATGCCATTCAGGGCACCCATAATCCCTACACCTACTTTTAGTGCTTCTCCCTATATGCCTTCCATGCCCAGTGGAGTGCCTCTCAATGGGTGAGTTTTTTATATGAATATTTTTTTGGGTATGTTACCAGCTCAAATTCTTCTACGTTTCGTTTATTTTGTTCTTGTTTTTTCCTCACTTTTTTGTTCTTTATTTTCCTTTCAATGTTGTCAATTTTTGTGTGTTTTATTTACTTTTATTTGTTTCTTGGATTTTTTAAATTATTTCATTCAAAATACTACCTCCATCCCAATAAACCTTTCCATATTTTGACTTTTTGTGTCAATTTTCTACACACTTTGACTACAACTTGTGAAAAAAGTATATTTAGTTATAATGTAAATTTAATATAATTAAGTTCATTTAAGATGTTTTGAATCTTTTGATATATCAACTTTTTATAACATGTACTACGTACTTATATATATCTATGTTTATTAATGGTCTAACGTGTGTAGAAAGTTGACCCGGAAAGTTAAAACGTGGAAAGTTTTTTGGAACGGAGATAGTACAATGTAGGATAACCATAGTTTCTACCTTTCTGCAGCCTAAGAAAAGAAGGTATGGCACCTCTGAGCGGAACCCAAACTGGACACCTATTAAACCAAAAAGAATTTATGGAGTCTCAACAGCCTAACAACAGAAGGAATGTTTCAGACCAAAACTTGGACAAGTAATTTAATTAAATAAAACCAGCACGATATTTACTTGTATTTTGCTACCAAGAAACACTTTGACAGTAATGCTTACACCTTTTCATTATTTTGCAGATTTAGAGGAAAGCAATGTTATAGTAAGTATGATAACAATGCAAAAGAATGGGTCGAGTACAGACATGCTAAAGATAGGGAAGCAAGTACAAGTAACTCGGATGACACCTTTGGTCAAATATCAAAGAGGAAACATCAACATGTTGACCGAAAACGTGAGAGAAGTCCTCACTCCTACAGTGCTGGAAGAGACAGAGCATTGCTCCACACAGAGAGGTCAATTTCTAGTTTGGAGGATAAGTGTGAACATCACCACAGAGACACTAGAAAACCCTACGAGAGAAGGGGGCATGGCAGTGATTCTAGTTGGGGACGCCATCATGTCCCAAAAGAAGAATCTAGTCGTGATTCGAGACATAATAATAGGCTCGATAATAAAGATCGCGGAAATGAGTTGCGCAATGGAAGGAGGACGATTGTTGATGGCTTGTATGAAGATTGTCGATCTGAATACCATCATCACAAAAGAAAGAGAGCCAATTAGGAGATTGTGATCATGGATTTGGGGCACAATGTAAACGGGGATGCACATACATCGTTATAGGTGAAGGATCTGGTTTACTTTCATTTTACCAAGGTACTTTGTATAAAGTTGTTTTGGTGTAGCTCTAATTATAGTTTTGATCAATGTCCATATGCTATGATATACCTATAAAACTATAGGTATGAATATATTCATAGGTACATATAAAAACCTATTCAAATACATAGGTATTCTAGTATCTAATATCAATCTCTGTTTGGCTTTGTTGATACAGATTCGTTAAAAAAGAAGTCGGCTTTGGACAGTAACATTTTGACTAACCCCTGTTTACTTTTCCTTACTAATCCCATTCACTTCTTTAGTGTGGAATATGGATGCTAGCAAAGGTCTTAATCTGAACACATTCTGGTTAATCATTAGTTTGGATCATTTTATATGCTGCCCAACTATCTTCTGCAAAGAGGTAATGTAGCTGATTGAGGTATGTTCTCTTTTCAAAATTTTGCCCAACTATCTCCTGCCCGGCTTTTCAGGGCACTCGAAAGAGTTCTGATCTGTTCCACATTTTGGGAGTTATCATTCTTTTGCAAATTTGTGATCCCTGAAAAAAATTGGCTTGACCACCTTGCTGTTTCTGGTTTCCCTCACTTTCTCTTTCATTGATATAAGTCATCTCAGGCTCTTTTAGTCCATAAAAAGTTTCCTTGCTCTTTAAAACCCAGCATGTGTTTGTAAGCATGATAAAAAAATAACTTTAACTATTGCTTATTATTTCGGTGAAAATGTAGCATCATTTAGTTGCCTAGGTTCCTCATTTTCATATTATATGACTAATTGCAAATACCCTTTGATAAAAAATATTAATGTGCTCCTTCTATCCAGAAAAAAAAGGTTCTGTCTGCAATACTATTTTAGTAGTACACTTGACTCATTTTGGACAAAGGTAGTAATGGTTTAGTCCACTTCATTATCAAGTGAGTGTCCCTGTGGGGGGTGGCAGATATTTTGTACATGCATTTTTTGTACTTTTGATCATGCATTTATTTTTTTTAAAAAGGAATTGGGTTAGGTTTCTCTTCCTTGACTTAGGTCCACAAAAGAGTAGAAAAATTATCAATTTCTTTCAAATCTGTTTTGTCAAAGAGCACATTTTGTCCTACCTCATACATCCCATTTCTTGGTTAATATTTTCATTTTTCCCGTTCTTGAAGTGTCTAAATTTGCATACTAGTGTACTGGGTTTAAATACAACCTTGGTTCTAAGAATCTCTAACAAACAATTCTTAGGTCCAAGAACACAAGAAGTTCAAAAAAGAGCAAATGATTTTACATTTGTCTTTTTAGATTTGGGCCTAACGAGGGAGGACCATGAGTCTATTTAGGCTTAAGCCAAATCAAGTCAAATGAGATTTTTCTTCATTTATTCTTGCGATTATTACAATGCCAAGAAGGCTTCGGGGTAAGAGGTCTGGTGGTGAAGGAAACAATTTAAGGGTATTTGTGACTTACCCTTACATTGGTTTTTGTTTCAAATAGAAAGTGGGACGGAGGGAGTAACAAAATACCCTTTTCATCCCCAAAAAGACCTTATTTTCTTTTTGGAATGTCTCAAAAAAAGTCTCTTCTTTCCTTTTTTATTGGAGAACTTTGAGTGGCTCACAATATTTTTCTCTTGTGCATCACTTTCAACTGCATATTTTCAATTTTTCTTAAACTTTGTGCCAAGTCAAATCAAAAGCCTTTTTTGAGACAAAGGGAGTATGATTTAGACTAATTATTCTAGAAAACATGCACTCATTTTATAATTTGAAATTGTTTAACCTTAATTTCAGATTTCATTGTTATGGACTATATCATCAATTTAAGCAAAAAAAAAAAACTAAATAGTCTTATAATGTGATTAAAATAGGGCTCTTAACTGGTTGGGCCAATTTGAATACATGTGGGGTTTATTTGAGAAGGAAATGTCTGAATTTTCTTGAATGGGGCACAATGCTGAAATTGGGGTTCATTCAGTTGTGTTATCGTTATTTTGATGGAGGATACTCGTACTTGGTGTTTCTTATCATTGAGAATTTGGACATTAATCCATAGGAAGGTGTTTTGGCAATGCTTAGGGTCCAAAAAATCATCTAGTGTATATTAGAGTGATAAAATTAGTATATGATAAGACTAGAAGTTAGTATATGATGGAGCCAAGACTAGTGAGGTTGGTGTTATGTGGCTCAATTCCTCTTACAGTTGAGATAGAGATTAAGCATGTTCAATCTTTTTCTAATTCTTATTGTAGTTGGTTGCATTAATGGTCAATGTCTTTTTATTTGTTGTGTTGATATATAAATTGTGGGATATCCTTGGAGATATGCCTTCGGTGGATGTACTTGCTAATGATATTTTTAAAAGATTGCCTAAATAAATGAGCATCACATTAGAGGTTTGGAAGTAAAATTAGGTGTCTAATGATCAAGAATGAGTGGAACCAGGAGAGGAAGAGACACTGCCTTGAACATGTCATTTGAGATTGTGGAGAGATTAGCAAATCAAGGCTAACAAGATTATTTAGATAACACATATCACAGTGGTTGGATGAAATGAAAGTTGCACGCTGAAGGAACATGTCACATAGATTGGAAGTTAAGTTTTAGGCGACTTGTGCAGTATGTGATAGTGTTGGACTGCTAAGAGCCTCCACGTGCAAATGTTTGCGGGAGTGACTAAAATGGAAATGCTTTAGATGGATGTGATGTATTATTGGGGATAAGTTGCGGACAATTCCAAACAAGGTGATGTTAGGTTCCATGGAGGATAAGATGTATGGTGTTGGATTGAAGTGTTTTGATAAAGAGTAAAGATTGAGCACTAATGTTAATGAGAGGAGGTCAAAAATATAGAATATGAGGGTGAAGGTATTCGAGAGGAGCCCTAATTAGACATGTACAATACTTTTATAGCTCACCAGTCATATTTAGCACATGATTATAGGTTAGTCATTGGTAGTCAAAGATTAGAATTGCTTTTACTTTGTTAGATGTGATTGTTTTGTGGGTAGGGATTTCAACGGGTTGATTTTTGATCAAGTGAAACTTCACCTTCATTCATTCATTTACTCTGTATCCATTGATCATCCACAAATGAGTAGGGTGAAAAACATGTGTAACTAATAATATTTTTTTAAGAATTCATAATATTTCATTAGACTTTTATAAAAGAAAAAACATAGTAATGATAACAAAACATCTATTTTATATAACAGTTGTGTGTATTAAGTTTTCATTAGATAAAATATTTAAAATACCTTTGTTTGCTATAGATCTTTTCATTTAATAATTTATTTCCGTCTCTCTTTTCTTTTTCTTTCTTCCTCAATTTCTTTTTCTTTTTTTCTTTTTTGTTCCTCTTTTTTTCTCTCTACAATCTTTCTCTTGTTCTTTTCCTCCATTTCTTCATCTTCTCATTTTTCTTCTTTCTTCCCACTTTTTCTTCTTTTTCCTCCTTTTTTTCTCCTTTATCTATCTTCAAGAAAAACATGTGTGGTGGTAAGGTTTGTGCTGGTTGTGGGGAGGAGGGCGCTAGTGGGGGATGAGGGCGTTGGTGAGTCTAGCAGGAGTGGTGGGTGCTAGAAAAGATGGTGGGGTTGGTAGTGGGAAGGGCAAGGGAGGGGAGATTAAATTAGATATTCAAAGGCTTTTTTAACACACCTAAAAGTTTGTGAAAAGTTGATACGAAAACATATTAAGGAGATGGAGGGAGTAATATCCTATCCTATATATCCTATATATATATATATATATATATATATATATATATATATATATATATATATATATATATATATAGGATATATATATATATATATAGATTTTGGTTCCTGTGAGAATGAGATCTTAGGAAAGAAATGAGAATGAATATCGTGCGTCCGATCTGTACCTGCCTGAACTATCGCAGGAGGGCTTTTTAGTATTTTCCTCACAAGTTATTAACTATACGCAGTTCCCATTCGATAATAGCAGGCCCGATGAATTTTCTTTCCACATTTCTCTCCCACGTTCAGAAGTAAACTCCGGATTTCTCTCCCACCGAATCAACCACGTTCTCTCTTTCCTTGTTGAAATGGAGAGATCTTNCGTCCGATCTGTACCTGCCTGAACTATCGCAGGAGGGCTTTTTAGTATTTTCCTCACAAGTTATTAACTATACGCAGTTCCCATTCGATAATAGCAGGCCCGATGAATTTTCTTTCCACATTTCTCTCCCACGTTCAGAAGTAAACTCCGGATTTCTCTCCCACCGAATCAACCACGTTCTCTCTTTCCTTGTTGAAATGGAGAGATCTTTGATCTTCATCCCTACGATATCTACCAGAATCCTCACTGCACTTTTCGTTTCCATTGGTCCGATTGTTTCTCAGTTTCTATTCACCTTTCATACATCCAATTTTTTCCATGGATTCAGGTATTTTTTCAATTATTCACAGTTAAGTTGTTTTCATCATTTTCAATTTCGTTTTATCCAGTGCTAGGGATCCCATCCATTTGAAAATGCAGTTTTTCAATTCGCTGTGTTTATGTTTTTTTTCTACACCACCCACAGATGATGGTTCATCAATGCAAACAGACCAACCATTTCCCGAACAGGGATTTGCTCCGCTATGTCCAGACGAGTCCAAACCTAGGGTCGGTATGTTTTTTCCAAATATAGAAGATGGAATTGCGTTCTACAATAATTATGCAGCGTTGGTTGGTTTTGACACACAGAAAAGCACTTCAACGAAGTCACGGGATGGTGTTATTGTTTGGCAGTATGTTGTTTGCAACCGGGAGGGTCGAAAAAATGTTTCTTCCATGCCCAGGCCACTAGCACAAGACCGTGAAGATTCAGACCCTATTCCCAAAAAAAAAAGGAGATGCATCTCAAACCGCATTGGATGCAAGGCACGGTTGACATTGAGACTATCTGGCAATGTTGGATATTCCATTGTATTTTTCGAAGAACACCACAATCACCCTATGGTGTCCGCTCCTTGTAGGCCATTTTTGAAATTGAATAGGAATCTTGACATTGGACACAAGAAATTTATGTTGAATTGTGCAAAGGCTAATATTGGTACAATGAAGTCTTACCGCCTGTTTAAAGAATCTGTAGGTGGGTATGACAACGTTGGAGCTACCGCAGTGGATTTCAAGAACTTTAAGCGAGATCTTAAAGCTTACATAGCTGGTGGTGATGCACAAATGGTCATTGACAAGCTTTTCAGGAAGCACGAAACATGTTCTGCATTTTTCTTTGAGTATGATGTCGATGAAAGTGACCAACTTACAAGGCTATTCTGGTGTGACCCCGTTGCTAGGAAGAATTATTCGTTGTTTGGGGATGTTGTCTCATTCGATGCAACTTACGAGACAAACAGGTATCCCGGTCATGGTTGCTCAGTAGCAAGACCTTTATGTTCTTTCAATGTTTACACCATTGCTCAATTGTCTTACACTTTCATGTTTAAATCAGATGTCCTCCATTTATGCAGATACAATATGATTTTCGCTCCATTCACGAGCGTAGACAATCACTGTAAGTGCATTACTTTTGGGGCTGGTTTGCTAACTAGGGAGGATGACGAGTCATATGCATGGCTGTTTCGTCGTTTCTTAAATGCTATGGGAAATGCCCCGAAGTGCATCATCACTGACCAAGATCTTTCATTGCGAGGTGCAGCCCAAAAGGCATTTCCCCGAACTTCACACCGGTATTGTATGTGGCATATAATGAAAAAAGTTGGTGGTAAAGTGGATGACGAATTGGCTAAAGATTCAGAGTTTCTGACAAAATTGAATGCAATTGTTTGGAGTCATTATCTTGAGCCTATAGATTTTGAAAAGAAATGGCATGATCTGATGGCTGCGTATAATTTAGACAATCATAAATGGTTTCAAAAATTATTTGAAATACGTTTCTCTTGGATCCCCGCGTACTACAGAGATCTGTTCATGGGTGGCTTATTACGCACCACATCACGGTCAGAAAGTGAAAACAGCTTCTTTGACGATTTCACAGGACAGAATTTTAGTCTTGTAGAACTTCTTATGCAGTTTGAAAGTGCTGTGGACTCTCAACGGCATAAAAATGCTGACTTGAATGCTGATGATGAAGCTTGTTACCCTGAATTCAAGACTCCGTTGGACATTGAGCACCACGCAGCATCTGTTTACACAATAACAATTTTCTACGAGGTACAAATGGAGATATCCGCAGCTTGCTTTTCTTGCTGTGTACTTCATGTCGAAGAACTAGATGGCCAACAGGTGCAATATTTAATTAAGGAAAAAAGGGGCATGAGTTTCAAAGTTCAATTCTCCCGCATTGATGCCTCCGCATGCTGCACCTGTAAACATTACCACCAACGGGGTCTACTGTGCAGACATATTTTTCTAGTTTTCAAAGATGAGAACATCCGCCAGATCCCCGACATGTACATTACGAGCAGGTGGTGTAAAACAAGATTTATTAAGCCCATGTACGATGTGCCCGATGCAGATTTTGAAGCTCTATCCGCTGTCGAAGAAAAGAAAATTGCATTAAACCGCTTGTGGTCAGATCTTTACTACTGTGTTTCTGCCGTTGAGCAAAAGCCAGATTTGTTGGGTGGATTTTCAAAGATTATTCGTCAACAGGACATCCTCGAAGCCGCGCTACGGTCGGGTGTTGTAAATACTCAGAACAGCATCTTTGAATGTTATTACGGAGTACCTGCCCCGGCCAATATAACAGTTCTACCACCGCAACCTGTACACAACAAGGGAAGTGGCAAGAGAATCAAAAGTGCAAAAGAGTTGAGCATTGAACAATCAAAGAAGAATAAACGAATGTGCAGAAAATGTCAGCAACTTGGGTATCATGACAGTAGGAATTGCCCCAAAAACATTTCAGGGTGATTGCGTTAGACTTTATTTGTAATTTTCTTAATTTTATTTCCTTTATTCAAACTTTCATTATGCTCTCAATACATCGTGTGGGTTGAATCAACAGCTTTGCAATTGCTAACCCAACGTGGTGCTTTTACTTTTGTATTTTTCTCTCCCTCAATGCTTTAAGTCATCTATTCCAATCTACAATTCACAACATCTTTTTATGATTCCCGTTTATGCAGAGCATAACACTTATTAAAAACGTCGGCAAAACACAATGACGTGTCACGTATTAAATCTAATGTCATTTGTGGTGATGCAACAAATAGATTTTATTATGATCAACATAATAAGGTCCTGCTTCCAAACTATCAAGGCTTACCACACACTCAATGTCCTTGGAATAGAGGCTTACCACACCCACGCATGATGACTTTGAATATATGCATTAACTTAACGAGTCCAAACAGTGCAAACACTCCGGGAAAAGCAACCATGTATTCATATACATACTTTACAACCACATCACCATTTCACTTCTTTATAGATGAATTCTCTTATTTTTACCATTCATGTTCAAGGTAAAATAATCCAATCATGACGTTTACAACCACACCTGAGCTGATGCAACAACATGACATTATCATGCACTACCTGATGATCATTAAGATGGAAAATGGTCCAGGGTTCATTTTTAAAATGTTCATGTGTTCAAGTAATAAATAATGGCCATCCTATCCTATGGGATAAAAGGGTCAAAACTGCTTTATAAATTTCTGCACATGCATGCTAACATCACACATATGCATTACCCCAAAAGAGAGATGATCAAATTACCACCCTGCTCCAATTAACAATAATACAACCATACTAGCATTTTCCAACATCACTAAAATTTATTTCTTTAAACCCGAAATCTTACATTCTTTAAATGCCTGTATAAGTTAAGTAAATGCATTTTCCAAAAGTAACACATTACACCGGTATAGAATTAAAAAAATTTGTATAGTTTCCAAAATTATTAATAGGCAGCAATAAATGACAGCATCCGAAATGTTTCAACATACAAAAACAAACCGTCATTCAAAATTAAAGCGTCACATTCAAACCATGTTGCCATAAAAAATTCTAACATAAAATGACCGACACAATAAACGAAATACACTGCAATAAAAGTTACATAAGGCCAACCACGCATTTGTTTCTGACCATCATCATAGCAAAAAAACCAAACATAATAAACCACATAATGTTCATCCCTTCATGAAGTCCTTTGATTTCTTCAAATTCACTTCCTTCATTTCATTCATTTCGGCAACTGATATGCAAGCACAATACTTGGACCTAAGGGTGTTCACTGCCTTCCGGTCTTCCTTGGATAAACCACAGTCCCATCCCTTTAAACCTCGGCCCATGTATGTCTCCATGTGCCGCATTGTCGCCACACCATACTCATAAACAGAGGTGACATCCCTCCGCGACATCTTCAAACGCGTTGGTTTCTGGGAACACACCTTCCCAACCTTCCCTTCCAATCCTTGATTGCTAAAATACTTCACAAGCATGTCAAGCTGCAGTATGTATCACAACAGATGGCAGGTAAACATTTATTTAAGAATATAATTCGAAAGCAATCACTACAATTTATTTAGACTTACAACGTTAGTTGGCATTCCTTCATACTTATCATCTGCTTTTGCCGACGACGAGGAAAGATCCAAAAGTTCAACCTTCCTAGCCTTGATGTTCACACAAACACAATAACACCACTTCAACTGCATTATTGGAAAGAAAATCTGCCAAGCACAAAAACCATATATTATGCATTTCTTGATCGTATTCTAAAACACTATGGCTATCAAATCAAGGAAGATTAACGAAACCGATAAACAATCACATTACCATATCTGCACTAAATGGGGATGTGCATGTGTTACCAGACTCCAATGCATCACAAAACAACTTAAACGCAGTATCTTTGTCTGGGATATCACCCTCAGATGTGTATAGCTGTAACAAACAAGATGTAAGTGTCTCACAGTAAAAAAATATTATTCTCAAATGAAACACAGACTCTTACACATTTCATTCCTTTGGCAAAGAATCTTGAAGGCGACCCAATGCTACGGTATACTTCCTTATGATTCAAGATTGTAGACCATGCATCAATGACTCTTGTCGAAATGTGTTCACCAGCATTTAATGTCATCAGATCCCCACGGTCCAATACCACATTGCCACACTTAAAAACTATTTCATCCCTAGTCACGAATCAAGTGAAACGTTCAAGATTGAAAGAAGTAAATGCATTTAGATTTAAATAGCACGCAACTCTGTAATACCATATCCACTTACCTTGGGGCATCTTTAGTTTTCATCAACCACTTCCAGATACGAGATTCGACACTGCTTAGGTTATCTTTTGGGTCCACTGCACGTGCAATGTAAGGTGACCTCATAATCCCCACTGATTTTGCTTTCCTCTTGACCCTCTCATCCTCATCGCGAAAAATCTGAGCACTCTAATCTCAAAGTAAAAACATTAATAAAGAATAAAAAAACTCTAGCAGAATGCACAACCATTGCGACGAGTCAGAAAGATCTTTTGGGCTGCACCTCGCAATGAAAGATCTTGGTCAGTGATGATGCACTTCGGGGCATTTCCCATAGCATTTAAGAAACGACGAAACAGCCATGCATATGACTCGTCATCCTCCCTAGTTAGCAAACCAGCCCCAAAAGTAATGCACTTACAGTGATTGTCTACGCCCGTGAATGGAGCGAAAATCATATTGTATCTGCATAAATGGAGGACATCTGATTTAAACATGAAAGTGTAAGACAATTGAGCAATGGTGTAAACATTGAAAGAACATAAAGGTCTTGCTACTGAGCAACCATGACCGGGATACCTGTTTGTCTCGTAAGTTGCATCGAATGAGACAACATCCCCAAACAACGAATAATTCTTCCTAGCAACGGGGTCACACCAGAATAGCCTTGTAAGTTGGTCACTTTCATCGACATCATACTCAAAGAAAAATGCAGAACATGTTTCGTGCTTCCTGAAAAGCTTATCAATGACCATTTGTGCATCACCACCAGCTATGTAAGCTTTAAGATCTCGCTTAAAGTTCTTGAAATCCACTGCGGTAGCTCCAACGTTGTCATACCCACCTACAGATTCTTTAAACAGGCGGTAAGACTTCATTGTACCAATATTAGCCTTTGCACAATTCAACATAAATTTCTTGTGTCCAATGTCAAGATTCCTATTCAATTTCAAAAATGGCCTACAAGGAGCGGACACCATAGGGTGATTGTGGTGTTCTTCGAAAAATACAATGGAATATCCAACATTGCCAGATAGTCTCAATGTCAACCGTGCCTTGCATCCAATGCGGTTTGAGATGCATCTCCTTTTTTTTTTTGGGAATAGGGTCTGAATCTTCACGGTCTTGTGCTAGTGGCCTGGGCATGGAAGAAACATTTTTTCGACCCTCCCGGTTGCAAACAACATACTGCCAAACAATAACACCATCCCGTGACTTCGTTGAAGTGCTTTTCTGTGTGTCAAAACCAACCAACGCTGCATAATTATTGTAGAACGCAATTCCATCTTCTATATTTGGAAAAAACATACCGACCCTAGGTTTGGACTCGTCTGGACATAGCGGAGCAAATCCCTGTTCGGGAAATGGTTGGTCTGTTTGCATTGATGAACCATCATCTGTGGGTGGTGTAGAAAAAAAACATAAACACAGCGAATTGAAAAACTGCATTTTCAAATGGATGGGATCCCTAGCACTGGATAAAACGAAATTGAAAATGATGAAAACAACTTAACTGTGAATAATTGAAAAAATACCTGAATCCATGGAAAAAATTGGATGTATGAAAGGTGAATAGAAACTGAGAAACAATCGGACCAATGGAAACGAAAAGTGCAGTGAGGATTCTGGTAGATATCGTAGGGATGAAGATCAAAGATCTCTCCATTTCAACAAGGAAAGAGAGAACGTGGTTGATTCGGTGGGAGAGAAATCCGGAGTTTACTTCTGAACGTGGGAGAGAAATGTGGAAAGAAAATTCATCGGGCCTGCTATTATCGAATGGGAACTGCGTATAGTTAATAACTTGTGAGGAAAATACTAAAAAGCCCTCCTGCGATAGTTCAGGCAGGTACAGATCGNGTGAATAGAAACTGAGAAACAATCGGACCAATGGAAACGAAAAGTGCAGTGAGGATTCTGGTAGATATCGTAGGGATGAAGATCAAAGATCTCTCCATTTCAACAAGGAAAGAGAGAACGTGGTTGATTCGGTGGGAGAGAAATCCGGAGTTTACTTCTGAACGTGGGAGAGAAATGTGGAAAGAAAATTCATCGGGCCTGCTATTATCGAATGGGAACTGCGTATAGTTAATAACTTGTGAGGAAAATACTAAAAAGCCCTCCTGCGATAGTTCAGGCAGGTACAGATCGAACGCACGATATTCATTCTCATTTCTTTCCTAAGATCTCATTCTCACAGGAACCAAAATCTATATATATATATATATATATATATATATATATATATATATAATACGGAGTGTATTTTACAATGATGAAATATATTGTTATAAAATTGTTAAAAAATGACATTTTGTATACTTTATTAAATTATTATTTCAATACACACACACACACACACATATTGCCACGCATATATTCTCTAATGATGTACGGAGTATCATTATTTAATAAGTCTATTTTTTATTATAATGTTTTATTAATTAAAACTATTTTCATTAGTACTTCATTATATAATGGCCATTAGTTTTGTATAAAATTTTTGTTTTTAAATAAACATACCAATATACATTTCACCAATTTATAACATATTTTGTTTACATAATCAAATTATATCTATAAATATTTTTAACTTTATCGATGTTTTGAAAAAATAAGTTTCATATGATTTTTAAAAACAATAAATGATTTCTCTTTTACTACTTTAAAAAAATACTTATAGAATATTAATGCATGTACATCTATATTTAAAGTATAATATTTAAAAAAAGATATATCTTAAAGTTAAAAAAATTCATCTAACACATATTATGTCCCTATTAAAAAACTAAAATAAATAAAATTATATTTATAGAATGTCAAAAATTTAGAATATATACGAGCCCGTGCGAAGCACGGGGTTAACACTAGTTTATCAAATACTTCTTTTTCATAAACTTCTTCTTTCTTTTTTTCTTTCCCACAGAGACCTTCCCATTTATATTAAAAAGTTACTTTTATTCTATTAATTCTTATCCTACCTATTACTCCGTACATTATATATTTTTACTAATAATCTACCTATCACATCTTATTTTTAGCTATCATATCAAAGTTATTTTTGGAAAGGCAACACAAATTATTTCTCCCTGAATTTTCTTAAAAGTAAAAGTGAGAAGAACTATAAAGGACGGACTGACAGTGGTTGTATTAGTTTATTGAGGTACTATGAGCGAGTTTTCAACCATTTACTCATATTTTTTATTCTTATTAGAATTAGATCTAACAATTTAAATCAAATGAGATAAAAACAAATCAGATCAGAAATAACTTAAAATATAAGTTATATTAGATTAGACAAGATTAGATCATACTTCAATAAAAATTAGATCAAATTCAATTAGATGAGATGAACAAAACATGTTTTTTTGTCTCTGTTCATGGTTTTAATAAAACAGCTTTCTTTTCTTTCCATATTTATATTGCCGAGGGTAGTATCACTTGCACGGGTATTATCAAAAGAAGATTTCATAAAGATTAAAAAAGTGTTGTAAATAATATGAGTATTTATTTTTATGCATAAAAATCACTAGAATTCATGTAGAACTATGGAGCATTAAATTACTTTTTTATTTGAAATGACAAATGCATAGGTTTTTTAAGCATGTTATTATTTTTTCTTTACAAATATAATTTGCGTGTTGCTCCCACAACTCTCTTCGCTTTGGAGTGTTTGTCCAGCATTTTGTCCACCTTTCTATCATGCCCTTTTCACTATTGCCTTTCCAATGTTTTTATTTTTTAATGGCCTTTTTGCCCATCCTCGTTCTCTACTTTTGAGTAGAGATAATGAGTGCTTACACCCTCTCTCCTTGGACCTTACTTTTGTAGCATTATACTGGGTTATTTGTTTTGGCCATCATACCTTCGACTCTTTGCAATCAAAGCCATAGACACCTCGAGAGAAGATTAGAGAAATTAAAAGAGGGAACTGAGCATGCCAGAGAGAGAACATAGCTTGTTTGAGCTTGTCCACATGCAGCGGAATAAGACAGAAATTTTTATCAGAATAACAAATAACAACCCAGTTGAATACCACAAGAGTAAGGTTTGGAGAGGGTGTGTGTACGCATACCATATCCCCACTTGAAAGTAGAGAGGTTGTTTCCAAAGAAATTCTCGGCTCAACATTGAAAGATGCATTGATTGACTATTAGCTACTTCATTCATTAAAGAAGTGCAGAAGTGCAGACAGTTTAGAGATCTATTTTGCTTTTTTTCATCAAACCCCAATGCAAAAAAGTAGTGAATTTTTGGCTCCATTCTCAGAACTAGAACATAGAATTTATTCTCGTTGAGAAGTGAAATTGCAAAGCAACTACGGGAAAGAAACAGAGCCAATCTCACCCTCAAATTAGAGCCCAAGACTGTTATGCCTCGTTATTCTAACTTAGTTTCTCCAGAACGAATTTTGTCAAGTTCATTCATATCCTCATCATTTTAGAATATCCAAAATGTTTTAAACAAAATCAGAAAGGATTTGGCAGTAATTGGAGAAACCAACATGGTGGTATGGTACCTAGCTACTGTCACCCTACTGGAGTTCCACTACCGTAATAGCTATCGTTAAGATAGCTACTGCCTGAGAGTTTTTGTCTAAGAAGGTACCTCTACTAGTGTCTCAAGTTACCCCCCCTATCGTTACCTAGGACCCCTACCATTAGATTGTACCTTAGCCATAATTTCAATAGTAAGAATTATTAAATTTGCTAATTTCTATTTAAATCACATAAGTTAACTCAAATCAGGTTCCAACCGACATTAACTTATTTTTATATTCTAAGAGTGTTTTTTAATTTTGCTCTCTAATATTCATTTTTTACTTGTTAGAGCTTTTTTCCTTTAATTTTATACACATAGAGCTTGCAATTATAGACATATACTCTCATGTTTATACATTGACCTTGTATTGTTTTCAGGAGTATTTTGTTCTTTTACTGGCCAAGGATTAATCCTTATCACTTTATCATAGGCCAAGGTGTAAACGTGTTTAGGATCGTTGTATAAATCCTTGTGTAAGTGATAAAGATAGCAGAGAAATTCTTGGGTAAAGGTTCGAACTTAGCCTTCAAATCCTTGGGTAAAAGACTGAAGATATCCTGAAAAGCTTTGTTGTAAACAATTCGAGATAGGTAAAATCTCGGGTTGAGTCCTATCGGCGAGAGTTGTTTGCCAAACTGGTGTCATAGAGGTCGACACTCAGTGGGCTCTGAAATTCTTAAGGAAGAGCTTTTCGGTACTGGAGTAGAGATTTCCAAAAAAATATAAATTGGTGTGTACTTTATGTCTTTAATCTCTGTTATTTTCATTGCTTCTGTGTTTGACATTAAACAATTTCACAAAACTCCAAAAGGTTTTTTTAATTATTTCACCCCTTCTAAGCCGTGAGTAAATCAACTAACATGTTTCCTTTAAGCAGGAGCTTCTTGTGTTCAAGGATCCACTGATTAGGGTTATATACGACTTCAAGGAAAGATGGTACCATAGTGTTGAGACAAATTCCAATTTTCAATAATTATATGGTTTGAGAATTTTCATTTTTCTCGGGCCTTTCCCCTCTCATTCCAAAAAAAAAGATACCAAGATAATCAAATACTCCGTAATTACTTCCTTCGGTCTTCCTGTCGCTTGTTGTTATGTTTGACATAAGTAATTTTCAAATTATTTTATATATAAAATAGTAGAATTAAAAAACAAAAATGACATATTTAAAAATTACATGAAAACATCTACAAAGTAGAGGTGACATAACTATATAATTTTGTAAAATAAGTAAAGTGAATAGAGTTTGACCCTATGAACGTTGAATGTGAAGATAATTTGGGACAGAGGGAGTGCATTATTTAAATTAGAGTAAATTTCTAAAATAGTCATTTCAAATAAGGTGTTATCTTAAACTAGTTCTCAATAAGAAATAATTACCAATGTGGTCCTTTGTAATTATAGTCACCTGCCAAAAATGTGTATTATATCTCAACGAAAGAGAGTATTTTGGTATTTTTATCATCTAGTCCTAATGTATATTCTTGAAATTCTCATTTATAATTAGGTATTTTTCTAAACAAACAACTTCCAGGTAAATTTTTTTACGAAATGGAGACTATGAGCTTACCCAACGTGGGTCAGCTACTCTAGTAGCCACCTGTTTTATTTGAAAAGACCATTTTGAAGATTTATTCATGCTTTAGATAATAAAAAATACCAAAATAAACTATATTTAACTGTTATTTAATTAGCATTTTTTACAGAGAATTATTTAAGGAATTTATTTCAATTATGGAGGACCATGTTCGTAATTACTACTTATTGATGACTAATTTAGAAAATCGCTTTATTAGAAAAGGTCGTTTGAGTATTTACTTTTTAAATTAAGTAATATTCTCTTCGCCCCTAAATAAGGTTTTAGTTTTAAATTATAATATTTGATTGAAGTTATTTTAAATTTAATTTATATTAATATTGGTCTTGAATTTTAAAATAATATTTGTATATTTAAAAATTTTATCAAATGGTGAGAAGATTATTTTTTTAATCAAATGATTAATTAATGAAAATATGTAAAGAGAGGGAATTTAGTTTGGCTTTAAGAGTAGTAAATGAGAACATTATTTAGTTATGGAGGAAGGAGTAGTCATAATAATAAATATAATAGTAATAATAATATTAGAAATTAGATTAATTAGTAAAATGCATGTTAACAACATTTAAATGGATATTTTAAATAATTAGAAAATGTTAGAAGAAACTAGAAATAGTGAAAGGAACAAAAAAAGACATT